TCTCCGCATGTATTAAATCTGTTCCAAAGTAGCTGTTCCCTTTTTCATTGCCACCAGCAGAGTATTAGTCCTAGTTTTTCCACATCCTTGACAACACTTGTATGGTCTTTTTAAGTTTAGCCACTATAAAAGGCATGTGAGAGATCCCACATTTCAATTTCTAGTTCTAATGATTAATGATATTCAACATCTTTTCATATACTTGATACTAACTCATGTGTTTGTTCAAATATTTTTGCCCATCTCAAGAAATGTTTATTTTCTCAAAAATGAGTTTTGAAAGTTCTTTATATATCCTAAATACAAATGCCCTTTATCAGATACATTCTGAATAAAGGTTATCAGATAAATGCTTTGCAAATATCTTCTTCCAGTCTGTCGCTAATCTTTTTAATCTCCCGTGTCTTTTGAAGGAAGTACACAATGTGTCTTTATATTCAAAGTTAATTTCTTATAAGCAGCATATAGTTTGGTTTTGGTCTCTTGTCCAATCTCACCACCTCTGCCTTTAAATTGAGGTTTTTTAGATGTTTAAGATCATGGTTCATTTTAAGCCTGTCACCTTGCTCTTTCTTTTGTTTTCTCATCTTTTCCTTTTTCTTTCTTCTTTTGGATTAACAGCCTATCTTTTCATTATTCTATTATGCCCTCTGTATTACCTTATTAACCAAAATCCCTTCTTATTTTAATGACTTCTGTAGGGATCAAGGTCACTAATCTTTTCATCCACTATTTCTAATTTGCTGCTGATTCTATCTAGTGTATTTCTTATCTCGACAAATTTTATTTCAAGCTAAGTTTTTTTTCTTTTTTAACTTCCATGTCTCTAACTTCTACACATCTAGAATATAGTTATAACTGTTATTGCTGTCTGCTAACTAACACCTCTGTCAGTTCTAGGTTGGCTTCAACTGGTTGACTTTTTCCCCTCATCATGTGTTGTATTTAACTGCTTTTTTGCATTCTTGATAATTTTTTATTGGGTATCAGATACTGAATTTCATGTTGTTGAGTGCTAGATATTTTAAACAATATATTTTTGACCTTTTTTTTTTTTCTGTGACAGTGTGTCATTTGGAAACAGTCTAATTCTTTTTGATTTCACTTTAAAGATTTGCTGGATTAGATCAGAGCAACATTTATTCCAGGTCTAATTATTCTCTACTACTGAGGTGAAGAGGCATATTCTGAGGCAAGATCATTCCTACTATTATATTCATTGCCCTGTAAACTATGAGGTTTTCTACTCTGGCGAGTTTGAACAGGAAATATTCCCAGACTTTATAAGAGCTGGGTATGGCTATATGTAATCCACTCAAATAGTTCTTTCAGGTGGGTAACTTCCTCACACACATGAATTGATCAGTAGACTGCTAAATATACCAGGGAAGAGCCTTTGTACAGTTTTTTCTCTGTGCAGATCTCTTCTCTTCAGTACACTGTCCTGTAAAATTGATGCACTTTGTTCTTCCTGGACTTCCACAGCTTTTGTCTCTTCAGTTCAAATTCCTTCTCTCTGCTCTGTGGCCTAGAAACTTCTCTCATGAAAACCAAAAACAAAACTCACTGCCATCAAGTTGACTCCAACTCACAGCAACCCCCTTTAGGTTTCTGAGGCACTAAATCTTTATGGAAGTAGAGCACCCAGTCTTCCTTTTGTGGAGTGGCTAATGGGTTTGAACTGTCAACCTTCTGGTTAGCAGTCAAAAATGCCTTAGGCATTAAGCCACTACAGCTCCTTTCTCTCAAGGTAGCAAGCTGTAATAATCATGTTTTCCAGGGATTAGTGACCTTCTGGTAGCATAGTGCCTAAGGCACTTGACTGCTAACCAGAAGGCTGGTGGTTCAAACCCACCAGCCACTCCTCGGAAGGAAGTTTGGGCAAACTACTTCTGTAGTGATAACGCCTCGGAAACCTAAGGAGGGGTTGCTATGAGTCAGGTCCGACTCGATTGTACATAACAACAGTGACCTTCACTGCTAGAAGTCCGGTATCTTAAAAGTCACTTTTCTGTGTATTTGGACTGTTGTGTGTATGCGTGTGTTTGGTGGGGGGTTGTTTTGTTTTATTTACTTATTTATCTACGTAATTTATCTTCATTTCAGGTAAAATGGTAAATCCAGTCCTTGTTACTCCATCTTGGCAAGCAGTGGAAGCATGTATTTTATATTATTTGATTTCTGGGTTTCTTTTCAAGTATGTTTACCAAAACAAAATTAGTCTAAACCCACTGCCATTGAGTCGATTCCAATTCACAGTGACCCTTTTTAGAATAGAACTGTCCCAGGTTTCCAAGGCTATTAATCTTTATGGAAGCAGACCACCGTATCTTTCTCCCACAAAGTAAATGGTAGGTTCAAACAGCTGACCTTTTGATTAGCAGCTGAATGCTTTACCCACTATGCCACCAGAGCTCCTCAAATTAGTCTAGAAAAATGATTAGGCATTGTCTTAATTATCTAGTGCTGCTGTAACAGAAACAGCACATGTAGGAGGCGTTAACAAACAGAAAATTATTTTCTCACAGTTTAGAAGGCTAGAGAGTTCAAATTCTGGGTGTCAACTACATGGAAGGCTTTTATCTCAGTCAGCAAGGGGGGGAAGGTCTTCGTCTCTTTTCAGCTTCTGTTTCCTGGTTTCCGAAGCAGTATCTCTGTAGTAGTAGACTGCTCAATCTTCCTTCCAAGGAATGGCTGGTGGCTAGGTAGCAATATATTTCAGTGTTCACTGTTCCTTGGTCAATGCCCAAACAGTTTTAAGAATCAAGGCCATTAATTTTACTGATTAATGTTGGCATAAAAGTGGGAAATTTAATTAAAGCATAAGGTAGAATACGGACTTTTAAAAAGGGACTTATTAGTTTTTTTTTTTTTTTTTTTTTTAAGAAAAGTAAAGCCAATGCACTTTTACAGAAAAGTGGTAAAACTGCTTATGGTAAATGAGGAAAAATTAATACAAGCCAGACTGTAAGAAAATTCTCCAAAGGGCATTAAAATGTTTATGTAACAGGTAATATTCCCAGCCATACATAAATGCTGGGCACTGCTGCATATAACCTTCTCAGATGGTTCTTTCCCCAGCCTTGGTAGTCTGCTCACATGTATGTGCAAATGAGCTTATTAAAAGCCAAAAGGCTAACAATTTTATTTTCAGATATTTAATATCCCAGTTTAAATACCAGATCATCAATTTGGTAGGCCTTTTCTTATATATTTTAATTGTACAGTATTATATTGAGTTTATACACTTGTTACTTAGTAAAATGTCACTTATGATTAATTTCAGTGATATAGTTTAAATATATTTGGCATTTTCCAATCATTATTTATAAAATACATCAGTAAATTAAAGAAGTGAATAACATTTTCACACTATTTCTTGTAAACCTTTAATAATGCTGATTAATTTTCTATATTAAAGATAAAATCAAACTATGCATTTCCATAAATCCCTCAAATTTCTCATCTTACATCTATACAACAAATTCAAGTTTAGCAAATATTCATTTATTTGCAAAAATCATCAAGTGGCCTGACTTATCAATGCATGTGTATGTGTGTCTTTTTATGCCTCCATCTATCTATATGTCTATCTATCTGTATCTATATATAAAACGTTAGTAATAAAATTTAAGTAACAAATTTTTAATCACTAATCATGTTAGAGTATGAATTAAGCCATCATAAGATTTGTTTTGTTTTACTTTAGTACTTTCTAGTGAGAATCCCTGTTGTTGTTGCTATCTGCCATCAAGTTGGACTCGACTCATAGTGAACCCTCCTTGGGTTTCTGAGGTGGTATCACTACAGAAGTAGATTGCCCCACCTTCATTCAGGTTAACACTAGGCTACTAACCAAAAGGGTAATGGTTCAAACCCATTTGAGGCACCTCAGAAAAAAGGCTGGTGATCTTCCAAAAGTTAACAGCCATGAAAACCCTATGGAATGCATTTCTACTTTAAAACACATGGGGTCTCCATGAATCAGAACTGACTTGATGGCAATGGGTTTTTTTTTTTGGTAATAGGAATGATGCTATTAAGCATTTCAAAACGTCGCTGTTACACTGTATAGACGTTAATTATACATTCCTAATTTTTTAGACTTCATTTTCCCTTGGTTCTGTTGAAGTCATCTAGCCTAGCAACTGGTTTATGTGCTTGAAAAATGGTTATACCAGTAAAATCATTTTGCAAGAGGTAAAAAGGACATGAAATACAGTTTAAAACAAAGCTTAGAACAGTGGTTCTCAATATTGACTGAACTTCAAAATTACCTGGCAACTTTTAAAATAAAATACCAACGCCTAAGCCCTTTTCACACTAATTAAGTCAGGTTTTGGGGTGAAGTATTTTTTGTAGAAAGTTCCCCAGGAGATTCAAATATGTTTTCAGAATTAAGAACCACTGACTGAGATTTTCTCAGCTTTCCTACCTCCAAGAACTTACAAAAGAACATTGTAAAATTGGTTAACATTGTTTTTCTTCTTTGTGCTGCTGTCATATTAAAAATATAAATCTATAAATACAGAGAATTAAGTTATACAAAATACCCAATATTTTCTCCTTTTTTAAAGGAAAGGGCATGTACTATCATATAAGCATTTAAAAACAAAAGTCAAGCACAGACTAAAAATACTTGAAAACTGCAATAAGTTATTTATGTTACTGGGTCTATGTGTTCTCATAAAAGGGTATAAAGATACACTCAAGATTACTGAGTTTACAGTTTAATTTCCCATGAAATATTCACTCTCTTCCATATGTTGTAACTGGCTCAAGTTATTTTTACATCTTGTTGATTTAAAAAAAAAGAAATCTGATTTCCATATTATCTCATTGTATGTAGTTCATAGAATCCTTAAGAGCCCTCTAGAGAAAGTACAAATTAATTCAATATTTCAAATTATTGGAATTGATGGAGTTTTCATTTGATGATAGTTTTCTATAAGCATCAAACTTGAGGACATTTTTCAGCTTCTTAATACCTAATTACTTACTTTGTCTGCAGCTGCCAACAAGTTGTCAGCCATTTTGTCAAGGTTTGGTGCTTTCCCTGTGTAAATGAATCTCATCATTTCTTTAAAAACCTCAGGGTCTACATCATTTATTTCCACTCGATTCTGACATTAAAAAAGCAAAACACAGTCACACATACAAAAGAGTAATAGTTAAAGAAAACACACAGAAAAACGAATCAAAGTTAATCTTTAGTCATTTAAAAGTCCTGAATCCATATTAAAGTATTTTATAACTGCAATGTGCATTTAAATATATTTTCTAAAATCTGTAACAAAATCGAGCAAAGTAAATAGTAAGCTAAGGAGGCAAAGTGAAGCAGGAAGATCTAAGAGGAGAAGCATATATACTGTATGAGAGGTAGGAAACATAACAAGCTGGAGAGCCCAGACCCTGACATTTGAACTGACCAAGCACTACGCCATGTGGGAAAATAACCCTCAATTCTCATTTTAAAGCAGTTTAAAAAAAAAAAAAAAAAAGGAAGAAAGTGTAATTACTGTAGGCCAAACAAAATGATTAAATGATTCAGATTCTGACCTCTTAGAAAGAGTATGAACTTGGTGATTAACTTTTTCTTTGTTAAATTCCTAAATTCTAATATAATGCCAAGGGAGCTCTGGTAGCATAGTGGCTAAGGCACTTGACTGCTCACCAGAAGGCTGGCAGTTCAAACCCACCAGCCACTCCTCGGAAGGAAGGTTGGGCAATCCTACTTCCGTAGTGATACTGCCTCGGAAACCCAAGGAGGGGTCGCTATGAGTCGGGGCCGACTCGACAGCAAATAACAACAACAACAACAATATAATGCCAAAGATCCTGCAACCAATGATCTTATTCCCAGCATTAAACAAGAGCAGGGCCAGGTAGTTCAGATAATATCAGAACCCACTCACTATCTGTGAATATTCTCTTTTATAAAAAATGGTATACTTTTCTGACCCAAGGGATATTTAAGTCCTAGAGGGACTAGTTGCTTTTTTACTCCTGTATCTTTGTATTTGATTTCTTTTTTGGGATCAATGAAATCAAACCTCTAATACTAAATAATCCAAACTTTTCTGGTCCTTTGCTGCTAATAAGTTCTTATTTCAGAGATATCTCAAGTGGAAGTTATCAGAAGGCTGATCACAGCACTTGCCCAGAATAATAATTCTGCAGAAAGATTAAAGCTGAATAACATGAAAAAATTTTGGAGTTGTTCAGATGGACATTATGCAACCAGCAAAGCCTCAGATGCTGATCTCTAACCTGATTACATTTCTAGATGATAGTGAAAGAAAAAATGTCTGGAGAAGTCAAATAGGTAAGTCTTATTTTAGTGATGAAAAGAATACTGACAATATTTTTGTTTCTAAAAAAAAAATCCAAAATCAACCCATAAAGCCTTGATATGGGCAATATACATTTTAATCAGAGACTTCTCAAACAGCTATGGCCCACAACAGTCCTTTTAAATAACAGCTACCTATGTATTTACCCACCAGAGTGATGTCAAGATACTTGGAATAGTCAACTGTGTATTCACACTGGGCTACATCTATTCTACTATAAGAACACATTCTTTTTCCATTTCTCCATTTCTTCCCACTTTTTTTTCCCTTCTTATGATAATGAGAACATGCACTGTTACTTTTAAAATTTACATTCCATTAGTCTACATTCATACAAATTAAATATTAGCCTTTAAACTATGTTTACCTTCTTGCTTTCTTCCATTTCATGTTCAAACATTGCATTAAAAACTGGGGAACGAGCTGTAATGAGATTAACCATCATTATTTAATGCACAAATTTATCTTGAAAAAAATTATGTTACTCAAAAGTAGGAAGTACCTGCAAGCACAGATTTATGAGCTTTAAATTCTTGTCCTCTCACAAAAAAACTGCAATCTGTAAATCTTGTATTTTCCCAGAGGTTACCTAAATCTTCTGCTAGTCGACATTCAGGTACCTTTAAAGTGTTTGTATTAGTATGTCCTGATATATTTATTGAATCTTGGACCACACTCACCTAATAAAAAAAGGCAGCAAGAAAAACAATTTCAAAAATTGATATCAATAATTAGTTACTGACTATAAATTTATGCTTAAAGTCATTGGAAAATTCAATACACTGTTGATCAAACATCCTACCTATTCACCTGGTAATTGAATTTAAGGATACAATTTAAAGGAGAGAAATGATATAGAAAAAAATTAGACACAAAGTAGATCTGTTTCAATAGTGAAAAACCATATATATAGCTTATCAATTGGTTGGAATGTTTAATTATTTACAGCAATTACAAAAACTATTTGTCAACAACAACAAAAAAATGTCCTGATAAAGCAAATAAAGAAAAGACAATTAGTGAGGTGGAAAAAGAAATTTCTTTTTTATTTTCTCATACTTCAAGACTATTAACTTTTAAATGTTAACCAGCAGGCTAGCAGTTCAAATCCACCAGCCAGCCACTCCTCGGAAGGAAGACTGGGCAATCTACTTCCACAAATATACCACCTCGGAAACCCAAGGAAGGGTTGCTATGAATCAAAATCAACTCGATAGCAGTAAGTTTTATTTATTTTTTTTAAACATAGGTAACAAACGTGGCACAATTACTTCTGACAGTATAAAAAAGGGTTATAAAAGTAAAAAGGGTTATAAAACATACAAGTTGGAAAGTGTTTTAACTGTCATTCCTGCATGCTTCAAATCTAGTAAAATCAATTTAAATATGTTTATTTAAAAACTGTAAAAATTCCTACAGAAGCTATTGTAATTTTTAAAGTTCATGGAATCTTTTGTAGAAAATCAGTGATGACAGCAATAAAACATAGTTTAATTCAGTTTGTAGACACTGTATTTACCTATGAAATAATAAACAAAGGCTGCTTTGATTATATCACTTTTATGAAGATTCCAATATAACATTAAATTATCTCCCATTAAAAATGACTATATACTTACTGACTAGGAGCTCTGGTAGCATAGTGCCTAAGGCACCTGACTGCTAACCAGAAGGCTGGCAGTTCAAATCGACCAGCCACTCCTTGGAAGGTTGGGCAATCTACTTCTGTAGTGATACTGCCTCGAAAACCCAAGAAGGGGTCGCTATGAGTCGGGTCCGACTCGACAGCACATAACAACAACAACAACATATACTGACTATTTTCTAGAAACTCTTAATAAATCTTCCAATGTCACTTTTAAAAAGTAGTATTCTATTACATTACTCGAAATTTTACACTACTGGAAATTTTACATTTATTAAATTGAAAAAAAAAAAAAAAAAGTACTGCCTCAACTAGTAAAGCAAATGTTTCAGAGTAAATGAACGTTTTTTTTTTTTTTTTTTTTAAATAAATAATAATGTTAGTTATCTATTGTTGTTTTAGCTACTAAATTTTGGGGTAATTTATTATACCTTATTAGATAACTAATACAAGGAGCTCTGGTGGTGTAGTGGATAAGGGACCTGTTGCTAACGAGAAGGTCAGAAGTTCAAGCCCACCAGCTACACTGCTGAAGGAAGACTGGGCAATCTACTTCCTTAAAGATTTACAGCCTCAGAAACCCAATGGGGGTTGCTATGAGTCAGAAACGATTCAATCGCAGTGAGTTTTTTTTTGTAATACAATGGCACTCATTTAAAAACATTTCATAGGGTTTTATTAAATGAAGGTAAGTGTATTGAGAACACTCAGAAAAATAGTTAACTATGTACAAAATGGAAATGGAAATGAATGAATTAGACCAAACCCTAATATGCTAACACATAAAGTATAGTAATGTTCCAGTAGAAAATATTTGGAGAACATTAAGTCTCAGAAATCCAAATTCACCTCAGTGTATAAACATGTATTTTATATGAGTTAATGAACACTTCTAAAAAAAAAAACAAAAAAAAACCAACTATAAAACCTGTATTTTTCAGAGGCTATTTTTATTAACCACCTTTCTTCCCCTAACTTTCATACTAACCGTTTGGAATGATATGTGTAAGAAATCATCTAATCCCATTACCTTTTTTATTAAAAAAAAAAAAAAAAAAAGTCAAAAGTAAGATCAAGAAAAGGTAAATAAAGTACCCTAAGTCACATTGTAGTTAGTAGAAGAGAAAGACCTGTATCTCCAGATTTCTTTTTAGGGTTATTTGTACTCTACCACAGTTCCTTGAATATATATAGTTTTAATTAATTATATTACTTTAATACAACTTTGGTTCAAAAAATATTTATTACAACAACATTTTAAAATGTATATATATATTTTTAAATGTAGGAACTAAGATATTATAGGAACTCTGGTAGCATAGTGTCTAAGGCACCTGACTGCTAATCAGAAGGATGGCAGTTCAAACCCACCAGCCACTCCTCAGAAGGAAGGTTGGGCAATCTACTTTTGTAGTAATACCGCACTGGAAACCCAAGGAGGGCTATTGAGTTGGGGCCGGCTCAATGGCACATAACAACAACAACAAGAAGATATTATATACATAAATTAATTCACAAGTAAAGGTACTCTTATCCTATTAAGCTTTAATCAAGTTATTTCTAAAATGTTAGTGACTACAAAACAGAAACAAGCTTCACTAATCCTTACCTAATTGCCCTACTACACCATAACCTAATGATATACAAACCAAAAGTATTGATGTTAATATTCAGGGTTCAAATCAGATTGCTTTTTATCACATACAGTATTTATTATCATCAAGTATTGCTCTTAAAATTCCTAGAGAATAGGAACTGGATTGAGTTAATCCCTTGCATAAAGTATGCTGTGAAATTATAAAAATGTGATGTTGTATTTAATTTAGGAAAAGATTTCTTACATTCTATTTACTGTCTATTAACCTAACTAGAAATAATGTATTTAATGGGAAAATTTGGCAAAAATCAAGTGATAGAAGAAATGAAAGGATAAAAAGATTAAATAGATTTATTACCTGGCATAGATATTGATGTTAAATATGTATTTTGCATAAGCAATCATAATTCAAAGGCTTTATATCACTGACATATACATCTACATATGCAATCACAAATTTTAAGCAAGACATATAATTAACATTCCATACACCAAACAGTACTCAAGGGACTAACTACTTATAGTGAAAATTAACGATCTAATTAAAAACCAATATACCCTATATTCTGGTGATTATTTTATTGGTATTGGTGGCATAGTGCCTAAGGCATTTAACTGCTAACCAGAAGGCTGGAGGTTCAAACCCACTAGCCACTCCTTGGTAGGAAGACTGGGCAATCTACTTCCGTGGAGATATCATCATGGAAACCCAAGGAAGGGTCACTATGAGTCGGACTCAACTCACAACAGTAAGTTTGGTTTGGTTTTTTGATGGTTAAGAAAAAAATTCAGTTTTAGATTAAGGTAGAAATTTACTTTTCTGTACTTATACTTAAGTACAGGTAAGAAACATTTTGTTGGAATGAACCTAGAACGAAAAATTCAGAAAAAAGGCTGACATTCCTTCATGAGGTTAAATTTGCTTTTCTTTCATAATTAAAAAAATATATATATGGGTGTTCTCCATTATGGAACTAAAGTTCCTGATTGATAAAATCTAGATTCTTCAAAGTGGTTTTCAAAGCTGGGAATTCCCAAAACTGTATTACAATCCTGCCATTCTAATCAACTACCCCTGCCAAACCCTTGCCACCGGCTCCAAAGTGAGGAACTTTTAACAGTCCAACTTCATCACTGTGTAGAATAATGGGCCCTAAACTTTTTAAATTTCAGAGAAATCATTTTTAAAAATTTAGGTGGCAGGAACAGGGTTGTCACCTTTTTATTTTGCCAAGAACAGGCCTTTTGGTGAATAAGGTATCATCTACTATGAAAAATATTTTAAAAGAGAAAGCCTATTTCAGCTACAGGAAAACAAGATGGAAAAAAAAGATATATCCTTAAAAATGAATAAGCTTACTTAACTTTACAAAAAAACACATTATAAAAATTTTATCTGTGCATAGATATTGTTCCTATGTATCATGAAATAGGTCTGCAGATTAGATTATTTCAAATCCATTTGATTTCAAAATATGAATTAATCTGAATAGTTTTATATTTTTTCCTTACTTATTCCTCAATTCCTGTTGTTCTCTACATCACTCTGTGAGAGAAAGGGCAGAGAAGCTTATACTGCTAGAAATCTGTTTACCTCTGGCCATTTGAAACACTGTACGGAACTTGCAAGATTAAGCTAGGTCTTGCACAGAAAGTGTAGCACCAAACTGCCTTACCTGTCTACAGCACCACTTGCAGGGGAGGGGGAGGAGGCAGTTCTTTAGGTAGGCTCAGTGCAACGCTTCCTCCTCTTCTGCAAGCAGTGCAGGAGACGCTGCAGAAGGAAGGGGCATCCATGAGAGTGGTGGAAGAAATGACGGAGGGCATGAGGAATGAGTGCTACAAGTACTTTTTGCCCAACTATGGTAAATATGGTGCCCAGTATATAAATGTCTACAGCAGTAAAAAGATGCACGTTTCAGGATCCAAAACAGAATCTGATCACTCCCAACTTAAAAATGTTTGTCATGATGGGTTCTCTTATTAGGGTCATTAGAATGTACAATTGTGTAGATAAAACTAGCACATGTATACCAAGCATACAGCAAAAAAAATTAAAAAAAAAAGATCCTAAAATTAATTTCAGCCTTAGTTCTGAATTTCTTAGTTGTCTAGGTTCCAATAATACATGCTAAGAAAAATATCTGTCAACAGTATTTCAATTCGAAAAGAAGGAATATTTTCTAAAGAGGTTAACTCATACATGACTTTTGTTGTATTAGTTTTCTTTAAATTGGGTTAAACAGCCTTTAAAGTCTTTTGAATTCTAACATTACATGACTTTTAGAAATTTACACTTTGAAATTTAAGGTAGCTATTAAAATTCAGGGCATTTTTACATTAAGGATGCTAAAAAATTAAAACAGTATAAACTTTATTTATTTAGAATACTACTTAGAAGATCTGTCTATTGGCAATGAATGCTTCAGTGGTCCCCGTCCTCCCAAATTGTTTAATGATAAATCCCATTCAAGACACTTGCATGTGCTTTATCAGCCAAATAATTGTATTCATAACAAATTCATCAGACAGTTCATTTAACTTGTGTAAGTGAAAATAAGATGCACTCTACTTGCACTATATAATCTCTAGGGCCATATTTCAATTATTATTCTGACACAAAATAATGACATACAATTAAGTTACAATCTTGCAGGAAAATTTTAACACATTTCCTATAAAGAGATTAAAGCTACCTAAGTAGCAGTTAAGGAAATTGTTGTGCTTTCAAGAGAAACTGTCCACATAACCTGTTAAAATCTAACATTGAGTTTACTGGATCAAAATCTTTTCTAACTGCTTTCAAAGATTAATCTCAAAAATTTATGTAGATAAAACTAGTTCATGATACAAATGACAGAAACAAATCAAAACTTCAAATTAAGAAAAGTCTTAAGTATAAATTAGATAGGATAATGCTGCTACCTTTCAAGATATGACATTTTGTACATATAAATATACCTCACAAATCTGTATACAGACACAGGCATATCTTAAACATTTGAGAACTTATTTATTACAATAAAAAACAAAACCCTGTTGCCATCAAATTGATTCTGACTCACAGTGATCTACAGGACAGAGCAGAACTGCCCCATAGGGTTTGCAAGGCTATAGTCTTTAAGCATATCACATCTCTCTCCCATGGAGCAGCTGGTGGGCTCAAACCACTCTGCAGTTAGCAGCCAAATGCTTTAACCACTACCCCTCCAGGGCTCCCAATTTCTTAGAATGCTAGCATCTTATTTGATTTATCTATTGCTTGAATAAACAAAAACTTCTCCAATCTTTTTCAGGTACTTTTCATTACTGTCGAAGTATGAAGTCAAACTGATAAACTTTGAGTAATAATTTTTAATATGATTAATCTGAATACGACAAAAAATACTATGTATTACTGAGAATGAAGAAGAAATTTGGAAATTTTCATATACAAAGAAGACACATTCATACTCTTCAGAAAGAAGAACTATTTAATATATAGTAGTAGTACAATACAGAAGTTTTAGTGGCACAATGGTTAAGCACTCAGCTGCTAAACAAAAGGCTGGTGGTGTTTTTAACTCACCAGCAACTCCTCACAGGAGAAAAAGACTAGACAATCTGCTACTCTACAAACTGCAGCCTAGGAAACCCTAGAGGACAGTTTTACTCTGTTCTATTGGGAAGCTAAAAGTCAGAAATGACTCAACAGCACACAGTAACAGTAAAACTGCATTTACAATTAATAACTATAGATATGGCTGAATTTTTTTCAGTAACAAATTTCTGACTGGACTACTACAATGATTTGTAAAACACAACTGAGTGAGCTTTTTCGAGTCAAGCATTTACAAATGAAACTTTATCAATATATCAACTAATTTTTAAAGTATACCTGATACTGTTCTAGTTTAAACTTTTGCTAACTGACTAAAGTTAACCATAGAGTTCCTTAAATGAAAAAATGTACCTACCTCACAAAATAATGTAAGTTTGTCATCTGGTAAAAGACCATTAGCTTCATCAAGCAAAAAATCCCTTCTAATGAATTTTTTAAAACCCCAATCCTTCCCTTGCACAAATCGATATGCTCTTTGGCTTTCTGGTGGAAAACAGAACAGAAGTTTAAATAAAGCAAGTATTTACGAAACATTTTTCTTATTGATAATGCAGATGAATAAAATGCAAGAAAACAGGGGCTGGCCAATACATTTATTATAAATATTGTAGATATGTGTGTTCACAAGTGAAATGTCACACAAGGTAAGTCAGACAGAATCAGATCACTCCACCTTGCTTCTCAAACTTTGACCATTATCAGTGAGCTCAATTTTAGATTTCTGAATATCTAAAGAGACAAAAGCCACATCAAGGGGAAGGAAGAGATCTTTCTTAACCATTTAGGTCCTAGAAAACAATAAAGTATGATCAATAACTTTGGCATAGACATACTGGTCAGTCATCATCTCGTATCAGAATCCTATTAAATCTATACCTCTCATTTCCTGCCTCTCCCTTTAAAAATAGATGCTTGAAAACTAAGGTATCCTTTAAGCTTTCCTAGGACACTCATACCACTGATTTAATGAACTACAGAAAAACCCATTATGTGGTTAAAAAAGTTAGTCTCCTCAGCATGCTTAGCTCTTCAGATATAATTCCTTAATTCCCCCCAAAAAAATTTCATAAAAATAAAAATCACACATTCATCATAATTTTGTAAAGGATATAATAACAAACTAAAGTAAATGTTACAAATACCTAATATGTTGCATAACAATTATATATTCTGAGATAAATTAATCTACAGAAAGGATCAACTATCTATTACACAAAGAATAAAACTGAGGTGGAAAAGTCTACTAATAGTAAGTCTAATTTTGAAACATCCCATTATCTTATAGATAAGACAATGTGAATATACATATTACTTTGTCAATAAAAGATACTATTTTTGAAAATGCGTGTGTGGAGTAAGTTTTCTGTGATAAAAAGGTAGTTATTTCTGTGAGTGACTCACTTCTAGAAAATATGTAAAATTTAACACGGTAGTTTATGATGTATTTCCCTACCATGCACGTTCTATACTTCTTAGAATTATGAAGTTGCAGGTTACATAATTTCAGCTGCTTAATATATGAATCCTGGATTGATTTAATATGCTCTGGTAGCATAGTGCCTAAGACATTTGACTGCTAACCAGAAGGCTGGCGGTTCAAACCCACCAGCCACTCTTCGGAAGGAAGACTGGGTAAACTACTTCCCTAGTGATACTGCCTAGAAACCCAAGGAGCGGTCGCTATGAGTCGATCCAACTCGACCACAGTGAGTTTATGACTATGAGAAACTGCTTTTCAGTCAGTATTTTTAGTTCACTGCTCAAAAGTATTTTATTAGCAAAATATCAGAATATTCTATTTACTTTTGCATTACTCTTCAGATTTTATTACCTGGCAAAAATAGCAAGGAAGAAGATAAATATTTCTTAAACACCTATTACATGCCACACACTAAACCAGGCTTCTTGCTCTAACAGCAGCTATTTTTCCCAGATGATAATTTAATGTCATTTTAAGGCATGACACAGTTTATTTAATATTTGAAATTATTTTTATAGGTCTCGTGAAGTCCAAGATTTAGTAAAACAATTCTATCGCTAAGCTGGAGTTTAAAACTAAGTATGTATTAGCCAGATTAAATGTCTTAAGCAAATTTCGGTGGAAAAAAAAATTTCCCCAATTTTCTTGGTAAAAGTGCAGAAGTCACATAACATAGTTACACAGAGACTTCTTCACTCAGTTTGTAAATCACTTACCCATTGCTTTTGTTTCTTCCCTTTTAGCATTCAGAAGGGAAAATTTGAATTTTGCTCGAACTTCACTTTTTGGGCAGCTGACTAAAAGCAAATATAAGGACAAGTAGTCTTTACTTTCATCATCTAATCCCTTTGGGTTTACCCTCAGGCACCTAAAATAAAACAACAGGCTCACATGGAGGGATATAATACTTTAAGCATTCAAAATAAGAGAGGCAATACTGAAATCATTTATTAAATAATATCACAAAGAGTACTCTTGACAATCAATACACCCATAATTCTTTATGATTTCCTATATACTACTAGAAACTTATTACCAATCTAATATAAAATTAAACCAATATTCATTCAGGAACAATAACAATAATAAAACCGTAAAGCAGCTGATAATAACATCAAAACCAAATAAATATCTTACCACTTCATTTTGTCATTTGGGCCAGATGAAAATGTTGAACTTTTTAACACTTCACCCATTTCCTCTCGACAAAAACTGAAGTTATTAATAGTCCACATGTAGGAAAACTTTACCACTTTAACCTAAGAGATTCAGAAAATCACTTTTAATAATGATAATTTTTATGCTTTTTAACTTGTCACATCCTGTGATCCACTTTTCTAGCACTTCTAATAACTATGCCACAAGCTTTGCAGTAATATTCTCAAAATAGTTTAAAATTTTTAAGCAACATATAAAAAAGATAGGCATTTTTAATAGCATATACCTGTGTATAACACCAGCTTTCTGCTACAGGACCAGCAGACATGTCTCCAGGTAAAGGTGGAGTGAGTTCCTGAGACATTGCCACTTAACTGCAATCTTTTAGGATTTATGTGGTTATCCAACACAACTGAGTACTTTACCTACAAAAAAAGAAGTTCCATTTAATGATCAAAGTTTAAGGGATTGAACTAAGAGGGAGTAAGTATTTAAATAGTCATGAACAATTACTTTTCCCAAATAAGATTATGAAGGAACAAGAGAGTATTTTAAACAGTAATAATTGTAAAGAAATTAAACAATTAGCATTTGTGACATGTAAACACTTGAAATGTAAACAAGAAAACTTAATATTTATAGATAAACCCACTGCTTTTGAGTCAGATCCAACTCACAGCAAACCCCTCCTTGGGTTTCCGAGGCAGTATCACTACGGAAGTAGATTGCCCAATCTTCCTTCCAAGGACTGGCTGGTAGGTTTGAACTGCCAGTCTTCTGGTTAGCAGTCAAATGACTTAGGCTCTAAACCACCAGAGCTCCTAATATTTATAGATAAGAAATTATATTGCCAAAGCATACTTTCTAAAATACTAGGAAACTAATAAAACATAGCTTAATAGTAAGATCATAAACATAAAATCATAAAACATGGACACATAATGACAGTAAATAATATCTGATTTACTTTCCTTCACTTTTTCATTGACGTTTCATGGAAACCAAAAAGTTTGCAAAGTTACAAAAGCCCTGACAACTTTAATAAATATTAACGCTCTGTAATACTATATATTTCCACAAGTCTACCACTGTTTCAGATAAACAGGTTCTTTGATAAAATTTCATCTCTATCACAGTGCTTCCTACTCAGATCAACCATAAATTTCCTTTCAGTAAGCTTTTCTTATACTATATCCATTTGGACACATAATTAATTTCTCATAACCTGGTCAGGACATTAATGACTAGATGCCAATGTTTATAACTTGGAAAGGCTATGAAAGAAAGAGGAGAAATCTGAAAAATATACATAAATAGTGTACTTTGTAGGAGCAGGGGTTTTCAAGATCATATTCCAACATAATGACTCAAGTCTTCTTTTTATTTAAGAATAAACAATGGAGGGGGAAAAAAATACACATAAATCCCATATGGGAGTGGGGGAATGGACTACTAGGTAAAAGAAGGAAATCTCATCCAAAATGCAGAGAAAATATTTCATATGTGACTATATTCTATGAAACAATAGTACAAGATGAGATAAGAAAACAAAGATTAAAGAGAGTTGTCTAAAATACAGAGAAATAAAAAGAGTTAGAGAAGGTATTAACAAAGCTTTGAATGATAAGTTTATTAAAAATTTTCACTAGAAATAAGGGATACATTAAACACTGGAAAAAAATAAATCAGCAAAAAGTTCTGCTAGAATCAGAGAAAAATGATCAACAAAGGAGAATATTACAGATATTGAAGACAGAGACCAAAATCAAAATTCCGCAGAAGATTGCTTGAGAAGGAAGAAAAATAAACAGAAGAGTATATTTATAACCAAAGATAACAGAAGCTGAATCCTGAATTAGAATAGAGAATTTGGTCTGCAGTCTGAATGAAAGCCATAATAACCAATCAAAATAAGAGACCATTACTTAAGATATTTCTGTGAAATACAAAATGAGAGGAAGAAAAAAAAAAATCCCTACAAGAATATATGTTCTTTTAAAGAAGTAAACATCAAGATGGCTCATTTTTTTCCTCAGCACTGAAAATCTAAAGAAAACTGGATCATTAATACAGAGTTCCCCTTAGAACAAGAGGACAGACAAGAAATGTAGCAAAAGGATTCTATGCATTTTCCCCCATGTTTAAAGCAGCAAAAATGTATTTCCAGATGTTTAAGATATGTATAACACCCCCATAACTATTTGGCAGGGAGGGTGAAATAATTCAAGTATTTTCCAGGCAAAGACAGATGAATCAAAAGAAAAAAATAATACCTCCATAATGGATAAGCTCTGATTTTTATACCACTGAACATATACAGGAAAACTACAGTATGTTTTTCTTTTCTCCCACTTTTTTTTAAATTGTGATTTGGGTCAAAGTTTATAGAAGAAATTCATTTTCCATACAGCAGTTCTTATACATTTTGTTTCATGACAATGAGTGCATAATATAAGAGCTCTAGTGCCTAAGGCACTTGACTGCTAACCAGAAGGCTGGCGGTTCAAGCCACTAGCCACTCCTCAGAAGGAAGATGGGGCAATCTACTTCCGTAGTAATACTGCCTCGGAAACCCAAGGAGGGGTCACTATGAGCCGGGTCCGACTCAATGGCACATAACAACAACAACATTCCCATGTCCTTCCTGTGGTTACCTTTTCCCTGGGTCTTTCTTTCCTATGCATTCCTGCTCATTGAGCAATCTTTCTGTGCAAATACTTCCCTTCTAATCTCCCATGAGTGACTGATCTAAGGAGTGTACCTACCTGCTATAAAGGTTTACCTTATGTGTCTGTCTACTGTATGGATGAAAGCCGTGGGAATGAGTTCAATTCCAGGCTCAAAGAATGACTAGGAGCCACAGTCTCGGGGGTTTCACCAATCTCTATGAGACCAGTAAAGCTGGTCTTATGATTTTGAGTTTCATTCCACATTTTTCTCCCACTCTATCTAGGATCTCCTCCACTGATCCCTTGCCAAGTGGTTGACAATGATAGCCAGGCACCTTCTAATTCTTGTGGTCTCAGGGTCATGTAAGCTGAGGTCCCATCGTTCACAAGTCCCTTGGACTAACTGCTTCCATGTGTCTTTGTTCTTTATTCTTCTTTGCTCTGGACAAGGAAAGACCAACTGTTGCATAGATGGCCATATGCAAGCTTTTTAAGACCCCAATCACTATTTACCAAAGTTGTTGTTGCTGTTGTTATTTGCCCTTGAGTCGGATATGACTCATAGCAACCCCTCCTTGGGTTTCCGAGGCGGTATCACTACGGAAGTAGATTGCCCAACCTTCCTTCCGAGGAGTGGTGGGTTTGAACCACCAAAGTAGAATGTAGAATAATGTTTTTGTATAGTATGTTATGTTAATCGAGCTTCATGTCCCCCACGACTATGGTCTCAAGCTCACAGGCTCAACAACTCACTCCCTGAGGGTGGTTGGCTGTGGCTAAGAAGTTATCATAACTTTTTCCCCTGTTAGTTCTATTTATATGGACATTCTTACAACACAAATCAATACATATGTAGAAATATTGTCTACCAAACTTACGTATGGTTGCAGGTATATTGCGTTTTGCCTAGACATACCTGATCATTCAGCCTGTCTACCATATCATAATGTTTGTTATTACTTCCACTGTATGTTTTAAAACTGATTTGTCAAAAATAGTTCTTAAAACATCATGAGAGATGACAATGAAGATGATAGAAGAGATAGACAAGCTACACAGACCCTCTTCAACAAAGAAAAGAAAAACCAACTGACACAGATACGGAAGATAATCCTGGAGCTCTGAGCTTTGGAAGGAAGGGTACAGAAGTGGATTAAATATCAAACAGTAGAAGAAACTGAATGAAAATGGCAAATAAGGTGACAAACAGAGCTATGGACTATCAATTATCCTGACAGCACAGCCAGTTTGAATATTTACAAGTGGTGTTAGGAGCTGGGCAGTGACCTAAGAATTGGGTTTTCCTGCCAAAGGCTGCATGGACAACTGCACTAGTGGCTGATAACTAAAAAGGGAAACAGCAAAGGAGATAAACATCTGTGGACTTTCTCGGCTTTCTGGAAGATGCAGCCACTTGAATATTTACAAGAGGTGTGGCCATTATGGATATTTAAAGTGTCAGTGTTCCAATGCCAGTGACCTAAGAGTAGGTTTTACTTGCTGAAGACAGCACAGACCACCACACTGGAGGATGACAAGTGTGAAGGCGCAATATTCCCCTTGTTACTCTTATATCCTCTACCCTCTTGGTTAACAGAAGTGTGGTGTCCCCTATTTCCACCTACCTGCTGGACTGGAAGGAATTACATTCCAGTCTGTGTGTTCTGATAGAGCATGGGTGCCTTGCCCTTCCCTGCTCCAGATCAGTTTGTTTTAAAATTATTCACTTTTTCTTCCTTTTTATGTTTATTCTTTCTTTTCCCCATTTCACATTCTAGTTTTTGGGTTTTATCTTCTTCCCTTTTCCTGATCCCCATCTTTTTTCTTTCTTTTGGTTCTTCCTATCCTTTGTTTTTCTTTTTGAATGTTTCTTTTTTTAATTATTATTTTTTTCTAGCTCTTTTCTCTTATTCCCCTTCCCCAGATATTGTGGATCCTTCCTTCCTTCCTTCCTCCCTCCCTCCCTCCTTCCCTTCCTTCCTTTTATTTAGCTCATATTATATTTCTATTTCTTTTGTCTTTTAAAACAATTTCTTCTCATTAACTACCATTCCTTTTTTTTTTCTTTTTGGCAATTGCTCCTATGTATTTATGCGGTATGTGTTTTTGGTTCTCTTGTTTTTTTTTTTATTGTTGTTTCTGTCTGGGAGACACCAACTGTGCCCATATGACCCAACCACACCTACACCTCCTGTAGTCCCACCTACTGAGAGAGAACCACCACTTGCTTCAAAACAAAACAAAGCAAAAAACTGTAGGCAAATCACAAAAACATATAATCACCAATTAAGTATAAACACAATGATGTCACAATGTCTCAGAGACAACAGACCACAACAGTCCACACAAAGAAGGAAGATAAAGCAGTAGAAAGAAGAGACCAGGACACAGACCCAGAAAACACCCCCAAGGAAGCAGCAGCATGGGAACTCCTTGAATTCAAAAGAATTATATTTAGGTACCTTCAATGAACTGAGAGACACATCAAGGAAAACATGGACAAAATTAAGGAAAACACAGATGAAACCCTACAATAATTTGAGAAGACAATACAAAAACAAAATGACAAAATAAATGAAAAGTTAGAAATGCACAAAATTCACAGATAGAAATCCAGAAGATCAATACTAAAATTTCAGAAATAGATTAACACATTGAAGGGACAAAGGAGTACAATTGAACCAATGGAAGACAG